TCAGGAAAAAAAAATTATTAGAACAAAAAAAGTATCCAAGAAAGATCTTATAGACTTAATTCCAACATGAATCCTTACTATTACTGCAAAGAGATTTACAACGAGAAAAATGAAGGTAAATACTGACTGACTCACACACACACACACACACACACACACAGATTCCGGCTGCTGGTCAATAATACAGGAAACATTTATTGAACTCCTCACAACCAACTAGGTCAACAGGTTTTATTCCCTCAGTTTACCCTGAAGAGTGATGGAAATCGGGACAGTGGAGGAAGATAACAAGCTGGGGCCTGGGACCCAGGGTTCTTGTGAGCCCAGGGCCTGTGCTCTTAGGATCTGTACCTCACCGATGCCTGTTCTCTGACTACTGCCTGTAACAAGAGGGAAACTGATTAGGGATAGGGGTGTAGCATATGATCCCATAGAAGCCAAGTTTTTGGTCAGTTTTCAACAAAGAGCACATTGCGTTGATATGCTTCAGGAGAACATCTGTGATGTCTCCATGAATTCACTGTGAGTTCCCGCATGGGTACAATCTTGGAAGTCTTTATGCCAGGATGAAAGTACTGTAGTTTTACAGTAGGACAGCAGCGTCTATGTGGGTATTTTGATTTTATTTTGAACTCTGGAGATCAGTGTTCTCTCTAGCCTTTGACCATATAAATTAAAGGTTAAAAAAAAAATCGGCTCAACTCAACTGGCCAAAGTCAAGCTGAGGCCTTCCTTTTTAATCACTACCAATACTGAAGCGCCCCCACCCCCAATTTCTGTGGTCGGTGGACGTTTGGAGGTTTCTCTTAAGGTCTTTTTCACTTCAAGAATGGAGACGCGCTTCGCTCAGAAATACAATGAAGACTCTTGGAACAAAGGTGTCTGCAGGTTTCAGAACCTCACCGCAGAACAGGCGCGGAGTCAGGCCCCTGGATTTGCCCTGTAGGAAGGAGGGCCGCCGAGACGCAGGCACTCCGGGTCGCCGGCGCTGCCCCTGTCTGCCCCGTGCGGGCGCCGGGGTCCCTGGCTCCCTGGCTCCCTGGCTCCCCGGCTCCCCGGCTCCCCGGCTCCCCGGCTCCCGCGGCCCGGGCGAACCCAGAGCGCACCCGCACTCCGACCCGGGCCGGTCCCTAGGGCCGGAGTTCCACCGGCCGCGCCCCCACGCGGCGCCTCCCAGAGACCCCCCTCCCTCCGGGTGGGCGGCGCAGCGGGGCCTCGGCGCCGCGAGGACCCCCAGCGCCAGAACAAAGGAATGTGGGGAGGGGGCAGGGAGGAGCGCAGGCCACCGAGCAGCCCCAGTATAACTGCCGCCCGGAGGCGCTTCTCGGTCCCGACCCGAGGTCCCCGCCCGCCACTACCAGACCCGCCCCCAGCCCCGGCTTCTCGCAGACCCCACCAGCCCGCAGGAGGGAGCGGCGCGCTGGGGGCCGCACGGACGCGCCATTGGAGATCCCGATCGGAAGGTGGCGCCACGCTGCCCCTACAGGCCCGGGACTCCCCCGCGAGCTCGCAAAGTAGGTCGGGGTCTGAAGCTGGGGGCCTAGAGCAACTAGCTTCTTGGAAAGCGACTGCAATTATTTGGGGTAATATACTCTGTTCCAGAGACGTCCACCAACCCCCCCACCAAAAAAAACCCTGCGCTTAATTTAAATGTTACGATATATACATCCCATCATATACATATATTCACACATAATCACTATGTAACAGTCCAGGAAGAAATTAAATATTTGGATAAATTACATATTCATACATCTTCACATGAGTAAAACTAGGGTATCCAGACAAAAATACGATCTACTAACCTATATCTGTTTCCCATTGGTCATATCTGATCTGGGGGTAAATAAATACTTCTGACCCCACTTACTGTTGTTATTTACAAAAGCCAAGAACAGAAGATGGCACTTGACCATTCCCCGCTGTTCTCAGAGAACAGCAGTTTCCTAAAGTGTCCTTTAAAAACATAAATGGGAGCCAGCATCCAGCAAATCACCGGGCGCTGCGAAATGCCTTCCTAAAAATACAATCTTATCAAAGGTCTCCGAAGGCGTGTAGTTAAAACTACAGCAAATGGCCTTGAACTTGTATTTGCACACAGCCCTAGAGAAAACACCAGAAATAGCACTGCGAGGCCACAATTGTTAAAATGTGATAGGGCTAAATTTAGAAGAACGTGCGTTTCATTTAGGGCAAAAGACACATATTCGGCAGCATGAGCAAACTCCATGCTTACCCGGTTGTCTACTTTCCTGTTTAAAATATCCTTAAGAAAAAAAAAACTGTTATAGTGACATTCTTAAAGGCTGAGACTGTCCTACTTTCTTTGTAGCAAGATTATAAAATCACGTAATTAGCTCCCTCTCTATGCTCACTGCCAGCAAATTCGGCAGTTACATAATGCAACATTTCCAGGAAACTATTATGTGATTTGTCTTGTCGTGTCTGAAAAAGCGATGACAATAAGGTGAGAAAAAGGGCTGATCGAATGGAATGCATTAAAATTAGGAAGGTGGGGAGGTAAACGTCACAATGGTTCGTCCCAGATTTAAAAATAACAGCTGAGAACATTGAAAGGGCGAACCCCAGTAGTACCCAAGATCAGAATTCAACCCGAGCAATTCTTGCTTTTAGGTTTCGTAGTATCGTTTTAAAACCTGTTTATTTGGGACGTAATATAGACGTAAATAACGATCTAATATCCAACGCTGCGCCTCAATTACCAAATCATTGCACACATACGCGCATATTCCCACATCAGTCCGCAATCCTTGCCAACATTTCACCGTGGGCAGATTATGCAATGTATGAAAGGACAAATCCCACAACCTTCCCGAGGGCTTGTAAAACACGCTGACGACAAACAGGGTGGAAAACGTCTGTGCAGACACAGCCCCCGACACAAACAAACGCCGCGCAGGCATTCTCCGAATGCCGTCACCGTTCACGCTACCAACCCGTTTTCTCACCAAGCAAATCAAGACTATTCCCCATTCCTCAACCCCCAATTCCTCTCCCCTCTACGCCGCCAGCCCCAGAGAAGGAACGAGAAAGGAGGACACTAGAGAGGAAAGAGCATCTTCCCGCTCGGAGAAGGCTCAGCCTGCCTGGCGCTCTTCTCTACCAAAACATCAATTTTCCTGAAATCAGGAGACATTATGCAACAGCAGCGGGGGGAGAGCGCAAACCAGCCAGGACTACGTGCCGGCGCGAAGGCGCTGCAATCAAAGCAGCCACCTTAAGGTGGCGAGTCCCATCCTGACAAGGCAGCAAAAGTTTATGTAATGAATGCCCCGCGCGCACTCGCCGCTGCTGGCGAGCCCAGCTTACAGCCCGACCCCGCACACTACGCCGCCAGCACCCCGCGCCCGCCCGCCCGCAGCGCGCCCGGGGAGCAGTCGCCGGGCACCCGGCCGGCGGTGGGCGGAGCGCTTACCGTGTTCCTGCTCTCGGGCCGGCGAGGAGAAAGAAAGGGGCGGCCGCGAGTCGGGCCGCCGGCGCTCGGGGCTCGGGCCGGGCCGGGCCTCCGGGGCCGCGGCGGGAGGCGGGCGGCGGCGTCTTCCCGCTCGGAGAAGGCTCAGCCCGCCTGGCGCTCTTTTCTCTACCAAAACATCAATTTTCCTGAAATCAGGAGAGACATTATGCAACAGCAGCGGGGGAGAGCGCAAACCAGCCAGGACTATGCCGGCGCGAAGGCGCTGTATCAAAGCAGCCACCAAGGTGGCGGTCCTGCATCCTGACAAGGCAGCAAAAGTTATGTAATGAATGCCTCTGCAAGCACTTTTTGCCAGCTGCTGGTGAGCTTCCAGCTACAGCCGCCCGACCCCGCACACTACGCCGCCAGCACCCGCGCCTCGCCTGCTTTGCAGCGCGCCCGGGGAAAGAGCTGCTGGCACTCGGCCGGCGGTGGCGGAGCGCTTACTGTGTTCCTGCTCTCGGGCTGGCGAGAGAAAAAAAGCGGGCGGCCGCGAGCAGTCGGCCGCCGGCGCTGGGCTCGCTGCCGGCTCCGGGGCCGCGGTGAGGCGGGGTTTCGTGGTTGGCGGGAGGCGGGCGGCGGCGAGGGCGCGGCGCGGGAGGCGGGCGGGCGCGCCGGGTCCGCGGGCGCCGTGGCCGCGCCGAGAGATGTGTGTTAGTAGGTCAGTTCCGAGCGCCGCGCTACGTCGCCGCCCGCCAGCCCCGCGTGACTGGCGGCCGCGGCCCCAATCGCCGCGCCTGCACCCGCCCCCGGCCAGCCGCCAATGGCCGCGGCCGGCAGGGGCGGGCCGGGGCGGGCTCTCCGCGGCCACGCCCCCCCTCCCCGCCCTCAGCTCCCCCTCCGCGGCGGCGCCACTACCAGCTTGCGTCCCTCCCCGGCCAGGGCCACCGCCGTCCGAGCGCCCGCGAGGGCTGGCGCCCCATGCCCGGCGTAACGAGGGTTGCGCAACGGCCCGCGCGGCCGACACGACCGGAGCGAGCCTGCGGAGGAACCCGGGAGCCCCCAGTCCCACCGCCCCGTCCGCTCTTGGCTTCCTTTACCCTCCCGGTCGCTGCGGTGGCTCTGCGCACCCCGCGACCCTCACTCGCTCGCAGAGGCGCTTTTTGTCTTCCTGAGAGCCGCAGCCGGCCGGGCTACCTGTTGCCGACCGAGCACTGCGGGCTGCGGCTACCCGGGCGTGGCAGGGACCTCGGCCTCCCCTTCCCGGCACACTCCCGAGAGGAGCCCTACCTTGGGGTGGGCAGGAGGGAAGGCGGGGGGTGGCGGCTGGCAAGCTGCCAACACTCGGGGCGCGCTGCGGCGGGGAAGGGGTTGGCGCGGCCGGGCAGCTACGCGGGGCTGCGCGGCGGAGGCAGCGATTAAAATGCCCCGGCGCCTCTCCGGAGAGCCGCGACGGCCCGGAGCCGGGAGGGAAAGCTCCACGCACAAAACACCGCCCCCTGCACAATTAGGGCGAAGATGACGGCTGCAAAGTTGTTGCGTAACACGACTAGGAAACGAGGCTCGCTGAGGTCCATCTACCCACCCCCGCCACGCGGGTGCGGCGTTCCTCGGAGGATGTGAAGGTCCGCGCTCCGGGTGCGCCCCACTGGGACGCCCACTGGCGTTTGGTGCTGGGGCTTGAGACGACCGCGCGGGATCTCTTCTGTGATCTTGAGCTGATAGCTGCTTAGTGTCATTTCTGCCTCTAACTGGATACGCTAGTCTTCTCTCCCAAATTCCCGGGCTAAGGAAGAGACGTAAAAAAATGGGAAAAAGAGCACCTAGCCGCGACTTCTTAAGTCTACGCGCTAGACTGTCAAGGCACGTGGCACACTCCCTGCGTTTACCGATACATGGATAGTGGGTCAGTGCTGGCCTTAGCGAAGGGAGCCATGTTACCGACAGTGACTCACAGGCTTGCCCAAATACGGAGTGTGGCAGGTGGGCAGGACCTCCACCAGCCAGCTCCCTCCTGCTCTGCTTGAACTACGTGGGGGCTGGGCCGAGTGCCTCCGCGACTTTCCACTTCTTTTTTGCCCCTTTCGTTTTTAAAAAGCAATAACCAAAGTAAAGAGAAGAGCAGAGTGAACACCCAGGTACCATCCCTAGTGTCTGCCATGAGCAGCAGATCTACTCGGCAAGATTGTCTTTTCTACCTTTCCCATTCTTGCACAGTTAATATCGTAAGCACCCGAGTCATATTTAAAAATTTTTTATCACCTGTCAGTTGGGTTTTTGGAAAGCCTCCCGGGGCAGTGTTGTGGTTTTGAACGCACTCTTGTTCGTAATTTATCTGGTAATACAGCTCTATTAACAAGGCTCTGAAAACTCAGATATACAATATGGGCTTAGCGTGTTCCCCGAAGCCATCTTCCTGGTACTGACTAATGCAAGATCCACATCCCCTCGACTACACATTTTCCAAATTTGACTGTTTTCATGAGAACAAATCCTGATTTTAGTTTATAATCTCCACTTTTCTCATACGTATATAATAATTCAAGGTGGGGTCTTACCATGTTATCCAGGTTGGCCTGGAACTCCTGGGCTCGAAAGATCCTCCGGCAACAGCCTCCCTGGTAGTGGGATTACAGGCGCATGCTACTGCGCCTGGCCACTTTTCTCAAATGTACTGATAGTTTCCTTTTTGCCAAAACCTTGCAATGCCTATTTATACCTTTCAAAACCTCTCCTAGATGAAATCAAAATCATATCCATAAACAGTTGCCTTTTCGGGGTCAGAAATGCAGCTATTGTTTAGAAATCCAGGGCAGCCCTGCATCGTCTACTCTCCCCTTCACGTGTTCTCACCTTGTTGTGCATTTTGAATAATTTCATGGAATTTCAAGGTCGTTGTAGAATGGGTAGTAAATGTCTTCCTTTAAAGACAACTCGACCTTCAAGATAGGTAAAGAAGGTGCCGGGAGCCACCCCAGGCGGTGATGCTGGAGGAATTGTCTCAACCTGGAAACTTATTCTTTATGCTGAATTGTGAAATCGGATGCTCCTAGAATTACTTGGGGTATTTTAGATTGTGTATGTATTATATTTGTGCATCATTCACTGTTACCATCTAACTTGGAAATCAGAGGAAGTGCAAAAGGTGTCTGAGATAGCAGCTTAGAAAACAACTCTTTAGCTCCTCCTGGTGATTAGGAAACCACTAAACAATAGGATGAAGGATCTGTCCCCAGGGCCCAAGTGATGATGTGTCTAATATATATCCTAGAACGTTCACAGAGTAGGTAAGTATTTGCAGATTAACCCGAGTAAATGGAGCATAAAAACCTAAGATATTTGACACAAATTAACCAGGATAGGGAGGCTTCTGGGAAGACATCAGCATGTACCTGCTGGTGGAGCTGGGCTGTGAGGTTCTCAGCGGGAGGAGGAAGGGGCTCTTGCTCTCAGCAACCTCTCAGTGCTGGGGGTGGATGGCGGGCAGGGGCAAGGGAGGAGGTGGCTGGGACAGGGATGAGAACTAGCAGCAGAAGACAACCACATTCTAATTCATTTTATTATACTGCCAACATGGTTTCTGACTAAGCAAATATAAGAGCTATAGCTTGAGAACAGAATGACTAAAACAGTGACTTCTTACTAAAATGGGAATTTACTAGGAATTTGTAATTTAGTAATGATTTCATTTAATATAGTAATAATTCTTCTACAGCTGCAGAATGTTTTGAGCTGGAACATCCCTAAAAGGCCATATATATATCTCAGGGATTTTACAGTGGACCTCACTAGGCAGGGGTAGCTGTAAAATCAGATGGGTCATAAGAATTCAGGGCGTTAGCCACACATGGACTGTGGCAAAAACAAGATGACCCATTGAAGAATACTAGTTTTCAGCTCTCATCAGTTGCTGTTTCCAGGAGCCCACAGCTGCAATTGTTCAAAAGAATGTTGACCTTTTTTTTTTTTTTTTTGGTGAAATATCCTGATTTTCAGGTTAGGCAAGCAATTCATTAAAAAATAAAAGACTGCAGAGCTCACAGCTCCAATTATTCAAAAGAAAGTTGATTTTTTTTTTTTTTTTTTTGTAAAATATTCTGATTTTCAGTTTAGGCAAGCAATTCATTAAAAAATAGAAGACTGCAGAACTTACCTACCCGGAGGCCGGACAGTCTGAGTCCTCTCACAGAGGAGTTCTACAGAGATGGCCTGGTAACGGGGCAGAGAGGGGGGACTCAGTGACTGAAAGGCAGGCTGGCTACCTGGCAACCAAATTGGGCAGCTCCACCCTATCTGTTTTGTGCATTGGATTTCTGGATTTCTTTGTTGAAAAACTTCGATAACTAAAAGCCCTTTGGTGACCTCCTGTCTGGTCTGGTGACCAGCAGCCTGCATCAGGGCTCCTGTGTGCCAGGACCATTTTCTTTCCACTGTAGTATGTTTATGGACCATCTTGTGTCTTTTTATTAATCTCCAGGAACAGAAGTTCAGTTTCTAGGAATCCATAGCATATAGTTTTTGTTGTTGTTGTTGTTGTTGTTGAGACAGGATCTTGCTCTGTTGCCCACACTGGAGGGCAGTGGCATGACCACGGCTCACTGCAGACTTGATCCCCCCAGGCTCAAGCAATCCTCCAACCTCAGCCTTCCAAGTAGCTGGGACTACAGGTGCACACTACCATGCCTTGCTAATTTTTTAATATTTTTTTTTTTAGAGTCGGTGTCTCTCTGTGTTGCTCAGGCTGGTCTCAAACACCTGGGCTCAAGCAGTCCTCCCACCTTGGCCTCCCAAAGTGCTGGAATTACAGGTGTAAGTCACAGCACTAGACCTGTTTTGTTTTCAAGTGGAGGCTTTAAGATGTGAGCTAGCATGGTAGCCTTAGTGAGGTTCTCCTCCCCACGCCCATCAGTGTGTGCTTTATGCTGGGATTTTGGCTTTGATGCAGTGAGTCATTGACTGTTGAGGCAGAAACTTCCTGGAATGATATTTCTTTCCTTCACTCATGCACTTTTACTTTTATTTCTGCTCTTTATGCCATTTTTAATCTTTCACCTCTGTCTTCCTCTTCCACTTTGCCTTTTCTTGTAATTTTTCTACCTTTGTTGACCTTTTCTCTTTTTAAATTTCTTTCTCTTGATTTACTCTATTGATTCTTTTTTCCTTTGGCCTTTCTCCAGTCATTCAGATCCTCATTACTCCCTGGGATTCCTTCATTCCACCAAACGTCCACTTTTCTCTTTGCTCTTGCCACCTACCTATCCCAGCCACAACCTAGACCTTGTAGTTTTTAAGATTTCCACTCTGTCTTCCAGCCTCTGCCTCTCAGTCCCCTAACTTTGCCACGTGGCTCCATTAGCAGGAGTTCTATCAGCATGCTTGGCCTTCTTTTTCAAAAACTAGCTTTTGTGGGAAATTGGGTAATAGATGGTCAAATAATATTCCCTGTAGAAGCAATGGCTTTAAAGTATGGGAAGCCAAAATGTTTCCTATTAAGCAGCTCTTGCTCAAGCTAAGAAAGAAATTAGATCTCTACACCAACGACATGATTTCCCCAGACAAAAGCAGCTGATGGTCTGAATTTCAAAGCATTTCCAGAGGACCCAGGAAAAGACCAGAAAGAGGTGATTTTGCAAAGAAGAGAAAATGTTGCAAGTACACTGTTACAAAAACTGAAACGTGTCTTTAAATTCAGCCACAACAGATGGCACACATTTCAGTAAGCATTTTTATTCATTCAGATTAAATGGTATATGTGAGTAAGGGTGCCAAAATAAGGGACATTAACCAAAAAAGGTGGGTAGGAAGCAAGAGAATACACTAAAAATGGCCAAGACTGTGGGAGCAGCTAATCGTGTTCATTGCAACATCTTGGCGATGGAGCAAGCATTGTGGCAGCACTCAGCCAGCAACTGGGACACAGCTAGCAGGGCTATGAGTATATGAAATAGAAAATTGTGAAATATGTTCTAACAAAAATCATTTCACCAGGAATAAGACATGACAGGTCCACATTGCAATCCAGTTCAAATCAACGAAGTAAAGCTTATCTAAACATTTTTGTGAAGTCATGCACAGGATAGTTTACTGGAAAGAGCTACACAGCTGCAACTGAGAAGCTGGGATTCTAGTGCATTCTGTACCCCACACTCACCAAGCAGATCATTTCACGTCTCTGAATGTCCATTCCTTCATCTGAAACCCGAGGGAGCCGACCAGGTGCTCAGCCGCGTTCCTTCTCTCATTAGCGTGGGTCGACTAACATGCCACCAGCATATATCGCAGAAAAGAAAACCTGCAAATGTGGCGTTTGCAGCAAAGCAGCTATGACAAGCACTAGCTCATTCATAACCTTCCCTTGGCCTAATTGTAACATGGACAAGAGAAAATTACCTTGTTGAGTTGCCCACCAACTTTTGTAACTCCAGAGACAAAAGTTGTCTTCTGGAGGCGTGGTTTGTTTCAGCAAGAGATTAAAGCAAATGCTATCAGTTTGGTAAATGCACTTAAGAAGTCCGGAAATTGGGTGCTTGACCACATTTCTGGTCTTCTGAGAAACTTTCAGAAGTGCTCAAGATTAGCTGCCACTGTGTTTTCAGCTGCTGCTGTGTGATGCTGCTCTCAGGCAGTGCATATATGTCTGTGGAGGATTTTGTGAGTCCGCGTACTGGCAGGATGACAAAAGAACCAGCTCTTGGGCAGTCACCAGGAATTGCAAGCAGTAGAGCCCAGTGCTGAAGACCCAGATACAGAGGCCTGTGTCCACATCCCAGCTTGCCCACAGCCACTCAGGAACTCTGTGACTGTGGGCAAGTTACTTTTCTCATCTGCTGTATGCCTCACTTTCTCCTTTTGACAACCATTTATA